TGCTAGATGGCACGACCTGTCCAATGTAACCACGCGAAAATTGAATTTTCGAACAACTCGCGCCATTCCTCATACCAACGTCTGGCGGTTCTTTTTCCGTGAATCAAACAGAAAAGAACAAATAGAATTTCATTGCGTCATTTGATGCACGGAAGGTTCCTTATTTAGTGCAGCTAGATCAATTACTAGTGATTAATTGTAGGTGGTTCGTCCGACGTCATCGGTATCATTTTGAGAATTTCCTCCTGCGGCTCATGTATTCTTGTGCATTTACCTTAATTTATCGGTAACTAGGGCACTGTTGTTGATAATATTGTCGCTTTAGATATTGTCCTACATTGAGCTTTCATTCTGAAATAAATTGTTATTTCACTTTAGTGTCCCTTTAAATGGGCCCTGAAACACTTCTTTGAGTAACTATGGAATTAATTCACTGGAAAAGCGTATTACCTCACAAATTGAACTCCGCAAAAAAATTTCAAGAATCCGTCCAGTACGAGCAGAGTTACAAAGATTTGTCACACGCAGCAATCACATTCTCTCTTCTCTTGTCCCGACGAAAGCACTGGAAGCTGAGCAGGGAGGGATGGGAGGGGCAAACAAAAAATGTCACTCGCTCCTCATGACCTTGAGCATTTGTTTTTGTTTTCTTTAGAATACGCGGCTTTTTTTGTTTGTTTAGAATACGCACGCGGGAACAAGTGAAGGCCTCTCGCGGCGACCTCTGTAGCAACCGAGCGCGCCATGTTCAAATCAGGGCTGATAGATGCGCTTACTGGCTTAATTCCGTGATTTGTCGAGAGAAGAGAAAGCTTTTTTTTAGCTGACTGATGATTTATTGTAAATTCCAGGCCGCGTGCTTCGCTCTAATATTTGGCTCGCGTGTTGTCGGGAGCCTCTGCTACCGATCGGCAGAGTTTTCTGATCATGCTCAAAACGTGTTGCACGGCCCCTTTACGGGAGACAAGCTCTGCACAAATGGGTTAAGATGAGCAACAAATAATACACTTTTTTTAAATCTAGTTCACCATATGTTTAAGACTTCAACACTCCGCAAGATAAAGGCGAGGAAGGCGGAGAATATAATCCAAAATTAAAACGAAAAATTGAAATCCTGAAAAAGTTCATCTGTCGCAGTGTCTAAAAAGGAACACGACTGAAATGGCAAAAGCTAGACAAGGCCTGGACGTCCCGGCGTAAGAGACCTCAGACCATGTCATCCTGAGGATCATATCGAACTTCAGGGCACTCGAATGTGTACTTTTATGCTTTCACTAGTTATTGTCAAAAAACTAAGCACATAAATAAGAAATTTGCTCCCAGTAGCATTTACAGGGCGCAACAACCAAAATAGAGTTTGCAGCAATTTTTCAAGCAGGAAAATGTACCTTTTGAAGCATGGAAATGCAAATTGGGAGCAGGTTACCAAAAAAGAATAATAACTTCATGTGTTAGCACAAAATCCCAAATTTAGAGCAGTATAACTGCTATACGTTAGCAAAGCTAAGTGTTTAGCCACCTCAGAGTGCAAACTATAGTTAAGTCCACATCTTAATTTTCAGCGCCTGACAAATCATTTGAAAGATGCTGAAAATGTTAATGTGGACCTGCCAACCCGGCGTCCTTGAAATTTCGGAGATTCGTAAAGCAAGAATGGGTTGACATCGCACGAATAAAAAATAAAGGAAAACTGACGTTCGTTCTTGTTTGTCGTTTTTAGGGGCAGCAAAAACGTAACTCATGGCTCTAAGAGCGAATCTCTTAGCTGAACGATGTATGCAGGTTTTAAGCAATGTACTACGTTTAAGGCTCTTAAAACAGTGGGGTGCCCGCAAAAAAAAAAAAGAAAGAAAACCTCCGCGCCATTGCACATCAGCCACGCCCACCACTAGTCCGCAAAGCCGTCGCGCCGAGGGTGCCAGCCGCGCGAGCCACGTACGAGCGACAAATGGTCCGTGTTTCTACCGGAGTTGCTACAGCCGCCTTTTTAGCAGTGCTAGTTGTAACGCTGGAGTTCGGACATGTTGCATGATCCGTGAAGGGCTGTGGTACGACTCTGCTCTGTTTAGGCAATGACCTAGCATCAGCGCTAAGATCAGCCAGCTTAGCTGTTTCTATTTAGGGACACTAAAGACTTTTCGCGTATTAGTGAAGTACAACTTCAAAATTCCGAAGACACTACCTTTACCACGACATGATATGAAGACAAAAAAAAACGCAACGCGTGAAGAAAAAATGCTGGTGGCGACGCCACCGTGAGATCCCCGCACCAAACACCGTGACGTAAGAAAATTTGAAGGCGTCTACTGGATCCTACGTAGCTTCCAACTGATAAGAATTAAGTACATTGTCATCTGTGGGTGCCACAGATTTAGCATACGAAGTTTCGAAAAATTTCATCGAGCGAATGCCCCGCCTATACCGAAAATACATATTGAAAATTTCCTGTGTAACGCACGGTAATTTGGCGCGAAATTTAAAAATGAATCTTCGACTATTGATTTTCTCTGCTAACAAAGAACTTATGATAGTGAAACGTATGACATCATAGTTTTCAGAGAGCAGTTTTTCAATATAATTTAAGTCAATTCCCCTCTTTAGTGTTCCGCCCCACTTTTTTTTTTAACGTCAGTCCACACAACTCAATTAACGGCGCGCGCCCGCATGAGCAATTAAGCCATATAAGGTGTTGCGTCCTGTGACAGGTAGTAATAATAGCCCCTTCTAAATTTCAGTACTTTTTTCCGCAAAAAAAAACAGATGCACTGTGGCGAAAGTGGCTTATGAAGCGTTTTGCATGTGATGGAACAAGGCCAGGGCATTGTAGAACCATACTGTTCTCTCTTTCATTTTTTTTTTTTTTTTTTTGCCCAAGGGTCAGGGTTAGCTGTATACTGCACGTCTGGATTGGATAATGGTGCCCTAACAGCACAAGGCGAACGGGGCCTCCATTTCTCGCTAAAGCTAAACGGAGAAACTAAGAAACTTAGATGTTCGTCGGATCATTGGCACAGCGAGACGCTATTTAGCGAATAGCGGTTACGGCTCAGCTCGGTGCAAAAATAGAGAATTGTATCAAGTTGGCGCAATTGGCGAAGCTGATGCATCCCGAGAATTTTATATTTTTCTTTTAAACTACAAATCTTCACGAAAGACGGGGTATTAAAGAGCTCGTTTTTCTTTGTTAGACACAGCAGTAGTTAAAACTAACAAACAAGAGAGCCACGGAAAGTATAGGGGATGTTGCTTGTAGTAATTATAACTTAAAGGAAAAGAAAGTAAATCGTACGTCGTCCACTTTATCGTCTCATTTAGGTCCCAATTAGAATAGCCTATAAGTTTTAATCGGTGTTCTACCTAACAAAAAACGGGCCCTTCGGGGTCCCCTTCTTTCCTTCATTCATAGTTCTGGCATAATTGATGTCTTCAGGTAGTATGCGAGAGATTATTAGTCAGCTGTTAGCTCGTAGGAAGATCGCTAGCTTCGTGACTCCAGCAGGCAGAGATTTTTTCACTCTCGCCGTCATGGATATGCCAGCGGCGCTGACTAACACTCTCAGGTTTAAGCGAACACTGCACACATCTGACCCGTGATGTGGACGAAGGGATGAGCACCGCTGTAGCTAAGCAAACAGAACATCGGTTGCGTTATTCGAAGGACGCAGGTTCGGCTCTTGCCAGCGTCGTATGTTATCTTTTCGTCCACTTATTTATGTTCTTCTCATTCACATCATAATTACTACGAGCAAGATCCTCTATACGCTCCTTGGTTTTCTTGTCTGCAAGTTGTAATTATTATGACGTAAGTCGACAGAGCTGGCACTGAGAAAAACTACTCTGTTCCTATCTCTTTCGGCTTATTCACTCAGATCTACGAAACGAGTTTTATAACTCAGTGCAGCACAGTATAAATTTATCAGCAGATAAGAACTCTGCCATGTTGTCAAGATTAGTTCCCCAAAGCTTATCTTTTATACTCGTCGATGTTTACATACTATAGCATGTGCGGGCTTGGGGAGAATTTACAGGCTCAAAATCTTATTATCAGCCCGCCAATGAAAAAAAAAAACACAGATATCTGAAATATAAACACAGTGTGTGTGACAGTGTCACCGAAGTATATATCAAAGTTATCACGTCGTACAAAGAGGGGATTATCAGATTTAGCACAGTATATTAAAAAAAAAGGGGGGGGGGGGGGGGCTACGCATCATTCGTGGTGCGAACAATCAGAAGGAGGAGGAAGCGGAGAGGCAGCTGGCATTATTATCCCTCTTTTCGTCCTCTTTAGCCTCATAAGATGATTTGCTGGATGAGTTGACTCACTGTCTTTTAAATGTCGAGCGCAAAAAGAACACGACACATAGAAAGAAGGCCGCTCTTCCCTGTCTTTTTTGTGCTCTGCTGTCACCCTTCCTTCCCTTTCACACACTTTACTATACTATGCTATTCATGGCTATGCTTCTCCTCTCTTTGTCCTCGTCTTCTATATTTTTCCCACTTTCTACTCTCTCTTTTAGTCTTTCTATCGCATTCTATTTGTACTCGTTCTCTCGCCCTTCAGAGTTAATGCATCCTACGCCGGACAAATCGAAGCACGTGTTCTGGGACCGAAGCGAAATATGAAATAAAGTGACGGCGATGAAGAGGAGGACGAAGAGAGAGCTCACCGATTCACGATGATGATAGTATTCGGTTCACGCCACGCGGTGTAACGAAACTTAACGACTCCGCTGTAAACATTTCAAGCGCTGAAACGAGACACGGATGATGAAGTACGTAACACGTGCGCTAACTTTACGCGATTGGTTTACCTACAACCATCGACGCACTTAATCATATGCGACGCCCACACAGGTAACAGGGTGCCATGCGCAGAAATGTGGATGCAGAAATAGGAACCAAGCAGCATTAACATAATAAAAAGCGATTGCAAAACTTCCGTAGTGGATATGACTCGGTGATAGTGAACAAGAACCAGTGAGCCATCGGAAGGACGGGTAGTAATCATCATGGTAATCGTGTAGGCGATTTGGTCGCGCGAGCATGCAGCTGATACGGGGGCGTCAACTCGAACGGCACCGATGAGCTCGAAGCAGTAGCAGCAGCGGCGCTTGCTGGCTTCGACTGTGGCCAGGCCGGCGCACACATCAACAGCGAGGCCTTTGAAGAAGCTTAAGACTGCATCCGAGCGGAACGACGCGCTCTGTGAGAGCAGCCATACACAACCGTATAGCGCTGTTTCCAGCTGCCAGCATCATGACCAGCAGTCCGGCCACACGTCGTAAAGGTATGCTCACTGCACGATGCTTCTGGACTTCTTTTCAACTCGTATAGACATCGACGCGCCTGCCCAGAACGTTGTAGCGGCGCATTCCGGACTGCATAAATAGTGTATGTACTGACCACGCGTGGTTTGATGCAGCCCATTTCACACAAGCTCCCCCTTGCGCACGCTATATTTCCATAGTTATATGTGGGCTAGCTCAAACTAGGCGCGGTATTAGGTAGGCGGATAAACGTCGCCAGTCAGTCCGGAAGTCACCGTTTGAGCGTGCCTAGACAATCTATTAAGCTCTGTGCGCCAAGGCCTTCCAGGTCTTCTCGAAACAGTCGGTGTCGGTAAAAGGCCTGTTACTCGTCTGAGCGAACGCGCTTTCAAAGACACACAGCTGTTAGGTTAACCGTGGTACCACTGCCGTTTGCAGGCCTGCCGGTAACGTACACGTACCTGATCCCGGCATCGCCGACCAGCCCGCACCCGTGGCTCAAGGAAGTTTCCCCGCCACCATTGGCACGGCGAGACGACGCTGGCCGCCTTACGTGCGTCATCTGCCACAAGGCGTTCAGCAGCGAGTCCGACTTTGTGGTACACCAGAGACGGCACACGGGCGAGAGACCATACCAGTGTTCCAGGTACGCACTCTGTGTACCGACCCCGCGTCGCTACTCGGCACAGTGCCGGAGAGCGCGTAAATATGGTAGCGTATTCGGCGAGCTGGAATATACCCATGATGGACAGCGCAAACAAGACGAAAGAAGAATGTGCACGGCACAAAAACGCTGTAGTGTGCACCCAACGTCAGCCGCGGTAGGCGTATCGGTTACAGTGCTCCAGCTACGGCTCCAGCACTTATTTGAAGGTTGTTCCCAGACGAAGCGAAAATACTGGCTTCTTCAAACGAAGTGATGTCTCAAACATTTGGAGCCTTGCAAACTATTGCTGTCGAATGTATATTCTTCTTAGTCGTCCTCGCTTGCGCTGACCGGGCACTCGTTTTCATACTTATGAAAATAATTTAGACCCTTTTTGTATCATCTAGCGCGACACATCACTAAAGTGAAACAAGGCATCAGTCTAGTCTTATAAATTACACTTGGAAAACTAGGTCGTTAATTCCAACGTTAGGTTTAGAAGCAGCAGACAAAATGACGTTTCATTTCTCAATTTCACGCCAGATTCATCACACACGTCAGCGTGACGTCGCGCATTTCAAAGTGTTTCTTTAACCTTATTTTCACTACATTGGCTTAAAATTTCTTGACACTTGGCACATTTGTCTCTGGCCCTGTCAGAGGGACAATGGCCTTAATTGTGAAGGATTAATAATACATCACGCAAGAACTGCATTGCATGCAATGTCGCCACCTGTACTTTCTTTGTGCACGTTCTATCACTAATCAAGAATCTTCTCGTTCCGACAGTGGTAATTTTGGTATTGCGAGTCATTTACTAATACGAGAAAACTTTTCTTACTTCGTGGTCTCCTTTTAATGCTCTACGATCCTTTCCTCGGAAGGAGCTTTAGTATGCAAGCACAACAGGCGCTTAAACTTCTCCGTTTGACTCAAACAGTGCGGACTTCATTAAACTGATCCAAAGGAAGATAATTTTAAGCCTAGTTGACGTAATCGCAAACGTTTGCGCCATCTCAATTCTATCACATCAGCACTTGGCGGTAGAGACCCCCGAAATATCGCGAAACCCATGAGGATTTCGCGAGGCAACTTGCATAAAACTTGGCGAATGTTCGGCCGAACTGTGCCCGAAAACGAACGAAGAACCAAATCTATCAAGGGGGGAAAAAAGGTGGTAATCGCTTGAGGGTTTGTATTACGTGTAGCGTAACGCTAGCGGATGCTCGAGGCAGTACCTTTTTGTCTTGTGTACAAGTAACCATCCAGGCACAACTTTGTGCCTCCTTTGTTCGATTTCATTGCTTTCTGCAAATACGTACCATTAAATCAGCAACAGAGCAAGTATCGAATGAGCTCCCAAAAGCGTAGTACACTTACCTTGAAAGTGCTGGTGTGACCGAACTGCAGCGTCCGGAAGAAATATACGTGCGCTGAACTGCTACCCCCTTAATGTCTTTTCAGGCGCGTGCGCATATACCTGACATGCGCATTGTGATATCGCACGTGACACCATTTCGTCATCAGTAGCGATTGTGGTATTGAACAACTAGAAGTCATAATAACTAGATTACGATGTTGTAATCACTTATACAGATAAAATAGGGCAGTTGGAATGTCAATATGATGCTTCGTCAGTAGTCTTTCAGTAAACTGCAATCTTCATGCGAATCTTTTTTTTTTTTTCCTTTGAGAAATAAAGAACTTACCACTGGAAGGGCACAACGTCCGACGGTTTCTGTGAGGGGAAGTCTTTTTTTTTTTCAGATCTTCCAAAAAAGAGGGGGACACTTGCTCGGCATATTACAGTACATATTTTACCCTCACATAAATTTACATATTCAGTGTTATTCACCCACAGCTATGCACCTCCCATTCCTCCTCCCCTTTTCAATATGACGTGTGTATAGCATGACGCCAATTCGTGAACACTAGGATACAAGGTATCAGCTGTACAGCACAAGTGTTTGCCAAATTCTCAACAAAATGCAGTGTAGAGGCGCCTACGTGCTGCCGCCAAGCGTGTGGGTTCCAATACAAACCTCCGATGTATGCAGGTGTTTCGACTCGTTTGCTTCGGCGTCGGCTCTGCTTCTGCACCGAGGTAGTGTGCACGACAGTCGGTCACCGTTCCGATGCACGTTCTGCGGCCGCGCCTTCACCGCGGGCGATGCCTACTCGCGTCACCTGGGTCGGCATCGAAAGGCTGGCTACCTCTTTCGGTGCTCGTGCACAAGGTTATTTCGCACTGAAGAGGAGATCAAGGCACACCTGGCGGTGCACGAGAATGGTAGCGGACACAAGTGCCCTGGCTGCCGAAGAGTGTACGAGTCGCTTCTCGCACTCGGTGCGCACTACACCAAGCACGAGAAGGCCGCCGACAGAACGAAAGACACCTCCTCGACTCATTCCTCGGTGATCACGCCGGCGACGCAATGTGTTGCGCATGCCTGTGTTACCCATCCGCTTTTGCAGCATCGGTATGACTTGTGTTATCGGCAACGCAACATCGTTTCTGTGAAAGCCTATGCTTGCTTTCCACGAAAACAGGCGCACCCATTCAAATGTCCTATCACAAATACCTTCAAGTGCTTTGTCTACGTTCTGTGGAGGCCTACATCAGGATGGGTCACTTGCAACAATTCTTTTACATGACTATCAGGCCTTTTGATCAACACCCAAATACAAGCGCAAAAGAGGCCCCCAGTTTAAGGCATGTCACCAGACTTGGCATTCGGTGGCTCATTCTAGTCTGGAACTCTTATGAACTTGACATGACAAACCCAAGCCACGTGGATGCAGGAAATGTCAGGTTGCAAAATTACCGGTGTAGAAAGTGCAGCAGAAGTAAAAGTACTCGCACTCAAGGCTGAAGAACAAGTTTTCGTTGATGTTTGTTAGTTGATGAGCCTTTGTGTGCACATCCAAGTGCACCAGCTTTAGCTTGTAATATTATGTTTTTATCATTTTAACATGACACTATGTCTTTTATGTTTTTATCATTTTAACATGACACTATGCAATATGCACAATCTTTGCATTTTTGCCTTTTTTAAGTGTGCAGTTGTACAGACACATATGATGCATAAAAAGTTTTCTTAAAGAAGAGAAGCCACGGAATATTTGTATTCAAGCAATCAGCTGAAGAAAAAAAAAAAACAGGATCGAAGTAGAAGCAAGGAGATGGGAAGTAAAGCATCCATAGATCGGGTGCCAATAGTTTCACAGCACACAATAAAGCAGTGCCCAAATTCAAGCTCTTAGGAACATCAACATCATTTGAGTAAACTGTCTGGTGCAGTTGACATGCTTTTTTGATTATATGGTTTCAAATCTGGTGAACTGCTTTACATGCTGTTAGCCTGTGCTGCTGGCACTGAAAAAATCTTGCTAGTGTGGGGTTTTGATTCTTCAACTATGTAAAAGGCTACCAATGCAAAGTATTAAAACCTGCAAAGGGAATTGTAGCTTCAACAGTGATTCTCCGCTGCATCGGAACAACGAATGCACCGCGATTTGATTTCACCTGTAACAAGCTGTTTGCGTATTAAAACTGTTTTGCAACTTTTTTTTTCATGCATTTTGAGCTCTTCATGCATTTGGAATATTTCAGCTCACATTGAATGACAGGTAGCAAACACCATTTGACAGAAAAGAGAGCAAAAAATGTTTAAAGTAGAGCTAGCTTTTTTTTGAAATACTCTCAGACAAGAATAGAGAAACATCCCTGCTGCAGTGATGCAGACATAATTTATAACGAAAGCACTGTACAGTGCTTTCCGAATCGAAATGTGACAGTTTAAGCCTAGGTAATGTACATATTTTTGCTTTCAGTACACTTTAACTAGCGCTCGCATCAGTTGGTGTTGCCTTAAACAACACTGACTGGTGCTAGTGAACACTTTTACCAAGACACGCCATTTGTCGCAGTCGGGTTACCATGAGCTTGCCACAGAAGAATGAAATGTCGCATTAGCCATTTTTATCACAAAGAACCTTTTTCCTTTGAGTACATCTATGTCCCATGCATGTTTGAGAGGTCCGCCACGGCAGTATAGTAGTTGCAGTGCTTGGCTGCTGACCCAAAGATCTTGGGTTCGATCATAGCCGCGACAGTTGCATTCCGATAGACGCAATATGGTAGATGCCAGTATACTATGCGATGTCTGTGCATGTTAAAAAACTGCACATGGTCTGAATTTCTAAATGGAGCCCCCCACAACGGCGTCCCTCGTAATCGTATCGTGGTTTTGGGGTGTTAAACACGAGATAGTATTATTATTATTATTATTATTGCATGCTTCAAAGGGTCTTTCAAGCAGCTTCAGGGGGACATGGGTCTGAGGGCAATCTTAACTATTTTTTAACAAAATGTGACAAAATTTTGCATGCTTACTCAGTTTGTTCTCCCAAAGATGTAGTTATTTGTTCTGCAGCTTCATTAGTTCATTATATAATTAAGATAATCTCTATTGATACTACTACAATAGAAAAGTAACCAGTCAAAAATTTACAAAATACATAGGAATCGACAGTAGAAAGCACAAGCCACACAACATGGGAAGCACTTTTTTGATTGGGTCATTATTTTTTACCTTACAGTTCACTAAACGACATAGCTCTGAATGTGGCCATGGAGAGGTCACACAAAAGACTAATTTTAAAAGGTTACATCACGAAAAATTAAACTCTTGCTCCAATGTTGTGTGCTCCAAACATATAGCTTCATGCTGCAAAAAGAATTATTCTGCTATCTGTAAACGTTTCAAATAAATTGCAGGAATTGTCATGCAGGGTGTACAAAATTGCCACTTTGTAAAGATCAAGAAACCATAATTTTAACATTTTTAAACAATAAAAATTTGTGCACTTATAACTACACAGTCATTAACATGCATATGATTAATAAAAGCCTAAGGAGTGCAACGCTACAAGCTGATCGAAAAGTGAACGAGCACATCTCGAATTACAGCACAGTAAAGTTCACTGCATGTAACCAAGAACAAAAAAAGGTTTATATTAAAATAAAAAATTCAAGCTGCACATTAAAAATCTGCTCTTAGCGTTGTTTTCTGTGCACATTTCGCTACATTGCACAAAAACAATTGCAGCTCTAGCTGTCCTATGTCCACTTTTACAGAATAAGCAAACAAAGAAAACGGTCAAAATCTGTGTTCTGAGGTCGATACTGTTAAAACTTTATTTCGCCATTTTGAGTGAAAATATCATGGCACACATACTTCTAGTGAGTCAATATGCACCGGGCATGTAATCAGGCTCATCATTTGCATGAGCGTGTCATTTCTTGAAGTTCTGCCACAAGTTGTCGTCTGCCCAAAGGGCCGCTTATCAGTTCGGTGACGGTGCTGAGCCAAGTGTGACGAATGTCCACGATCCACGATCCATCGAATGGCAGGACGATGTTTTCCCTCTTTTCCAGACTGAGTTACACGTGGATGTCGCGAACCGAACTCACGCACACGCTCATCAATTTTGAGACTACAAAAGTAACACAATATCAAGTTCTCTTTTTTTTTTTTTCTTGACTGCCGCATTTTCGGGCGACAATCGCGCCATCGTTGCGACACGCATGTCATTAAAAGCAGTCTACCTGTTGCCAGTACCACTTTCAACGCGAACCGTTCGTCGACGCGCGGCACATTCCACTCTGACGCCCCGTCACGCAGTCCACACATAAACGAGCTGAAACTTCATGGCAAGGCCATATTCCCGCTCGCCTCTCCTGGTCTTGGCGTCACCATTGCTAATCTTGCGCTTTCAATTCAATGAATTTACCACCTCCAAGTTCTCGATGGTAAAGGTCGTTTCGTCAGACGAGGGAACTGCAGCATCGGCGCGTTTCACTGCGCTTCCGTTCCGTCGCTGCAAAGGTTGATCTCTCTCGCAGCTTCACTTCTGCTTTCTTCTTGCCATCTTCTAACTGTTGAGGCTGCAAAACTTGCATGTCGTTGCGCACAGGGCCGCTTTCAGCGATGTTGTCGGCAATCGACGAGCTCGGCTCATAGGACCAGCGTCCACTAAGCCTACCCCTGTGGCCGCTTCGCTGACCGCCGCGAGTTCGTCATCCTCATTGTCCTAAACCCTTCCGGGGCTCTTTTGGGGTTCTAAGCGAGCAATCGCCACACCCGCTTCACAAATTTGTGTGGTGCGACACTTCCTCATTGCAGCAGGCAGTCGACCACACCACTACAAAATAGTGCACGCCCGCACGTGTCTCGACCGTGAAGTAGATGCTGAAAACGCCACTTGGCCCATCGGAGGCCTAGGTTTTGTCAAGTGCTGCAAGTAGCCAATAGAATCGTGCGCTGGTAGCGTTTTTGCTAAAAAACCAATGAGCAAGGCGAGCCAGCTGCGGCAGGAAAAGCCATTACGTCACACTTAGTGGAAGTAAAGAAGATTAAAGGGACACTAAAGTCAACTATTAAGTCGACGTTGATTGTTGAAATGGTGGTCTCCTAATGTTACTTTTGCGCCAAGGAAGGGCCTATTTTGAAATAAAATCACGTGTTAGTGGTCCGCATCGGCTTAGCGCACTTCAAATTACCCGCCTGAAGAAGCGAACCGACCGGCCCATATCACGTCACTGTTGCCGTGCACAACGTTGCCCGGCTTTACTGGGCCAGTAGCAGCAGACCGAAAGCAGCGGGAGCCACAGCAGCAACACTGGCCATTTATCAATTTCCCTCCATTGGCTCCGAGATTGCAGACGCTTTTGTTTCAACTGCACCCCACTAGATGGCACAACCTGTCCCGTGTAACCACTTGAAAATTTAATTTTTTAACCACTCGCGCAATTCCCCATATTAATGTCCGGTGGTGCTTTTTCCCATGAATCAAACAGAAACGAACAAGCAGCGTTTTATCGTGTCTCTTGATGCATGGAAAGTTCTTTATTTAGTGCAGTTAGATCGATTACTAGTGATTAATTGTAGGCGGTCCCTCTGATGTCATCGGGATCATATTGAAAATGTCCTACTGCGGCGCTTGAGTTTTTTTTTGCATTTACCTTAATTTCTCGGTAAGTTGATAATACTGCTGTTGATAATATTGTCCATTTTAGGTGTTGTCATACATGGAGCTTTTACTCTGACGTTAATTGTTATTTGATTTTAATGTCCCTTTAAAGGAGTCATCTTCACAAAGCATGCTACAGCGGCTCACGCATGCGCGACGGACGCCAGCAACAGGGAGGCGAGCCCACGAGCGCGGTATTTCGTACGCGCCGGGCGGCATCGCCGCCGCCAGTGATGGATGAGCTAGAAAAGCAACACTTTTGTGTTGATAATGAGCAAACGTGCAGCGATACTCGCTTGTATAGTGCCCATGTACCATTTGCAACCAGAGTACCGTTCATATTGTGAATTTACAATACATTTGCAGCTTTGAACTTTGTGTTTAATTCGCGAAACTCAAGAGAGCAACGGCGCCAATCGGCCGCTTAATCGCCACGACAGGCTGTTCTCTTCTGCAGATATGGTAAGTTCAGGGTACAGAAGATAATGTAATGTAACAGTGAAATGTTATTTGTCTCGCTATTTAGACAGATAAAACGTTAACAGGAAGCGATAATTCAAACAATAAATCCCATTACCGTGTCAGGTACATCTAATTCTTGACTTGGCAAGCTCCGGTGAGAACAGTGGACCACGAACTGCTTTCCGGTAGTTGTGATCGTCGTACACAAGAATGTCTCACCACAGTCTCTTGCATTAAGAGCCGTGAGCGCTGCCGTTTTCGTCTAGGAATTCTAGGCTGCCTTCACTGAGACCCGCATGCAGCATAGGGAAACAACAAAGCTTCGGCGTCAACCATGTTCGGAGAAGAGGTCGCGAGCTTTAAAAACGAGCGCTTTCGACCTCTTGGGATATCAACTAAAAACCGTGAAGGCCAACGCTCACTGTAGGCTTCTAACACACTGCATCATTTTTGAAGAGCACCAGCTACATAAAAATGCACATTCAGAACTGCAACTGGCTATGAACAACGCCGTGATACAAGTAGTGATGCTGACAACACGAGACGCCGGCGTGCCTACCTATTCCCACAACCGCACTGCCAAGGCACACGACTTTCACCACACTTTTCGCTCCAGCCCGCATTGCGAGGGCCTCTCCTTAGCTTTCGTTCCTCCGTGGCTCTTCCAAACAATACAAAATGGCCACTATAGATAGTGTGTAATGGCAATGGTTGGGCGCAGGAAAAGTGTAATTTTTGCATCTATTTCAGCTCCCAATCCTCTCATAAGGGTGTTATAAATTAATTTTGTGCCAAAAAGTAATGACATGAGAAGCTGGGAACTTTTCATATCAGCACAAAAATAGGTACAGGTTCCGAAAATGTCAGCTTCAAAAAGTCGATTTTTTAGCGATTTTCGACCTTCTAAGACCCGTGTGTGTGTGTGTCCCCCCCCCTCCCCGAGTTGTTTTTAATATACCTTACCCACAGACCACCGCGGCGGGGCGCGGTACAAATACAGAGAAGTTGTATGAGGCCACAAATAAAGAGCAACAAAAAAAACTGCTTATCCAAAGTTGTGTCTGCAAACAGTGGATATTA